CCTTTTGTTTTCTCACTTAGCGCTGGGCCCGGCCCCGCCACTGGCTAGTCACCAGACTCTCGGCAGTTGAGTCGGTGGCTGGGTCTCACGTGGTTGGTATGTGGCTGTGGGTGTGATCCAATGGTGGTGGAAGTGGAGATCTTGCATCTTGACAAAGTTGGGCGGTACTTTTGCTCTAAGTTTCTACCCCTTTCTTCGATGTAGTTTTGGGGAAGGGTAGCGTGGGCTGTGGAGTGAGAGTTGCCGTGGTCGTAGGCTTGATAGGTTCTGGCGATGGGAGGCACCAGTTTTTCAGGGTGGGCTTCAATGCTAGGGCTCAGTCTCTGGTTGTACAACACTCCTTTTGGGATTTCTTGCGTGTGGGTCCATGGTCGGTGATGTTGCTCCTTCGATTATGGCTCTCCGTGTCGTGGTGGCCAGCTTGGTGCCGACAGATCTACCTGTGTGGCTGTGTCCACCTTTTGTAATGTTTGTTTTATTTTAATAAAGGCGTTGATGTTTACGCTGTTTAGTAGCGTGTTTTTGTTGTTGTGTTGGTTTTTTGTTGTAATAACGAAGGTGATCTCCCTATCTTCTGGGATTGTTGTTATGTTTGGTCTGCAAGTTATGGTGCTTTGTGGTGTTGTGGTAGGCCTTTGTGTCTTTAGTCTCTCAATTTCAGTCAACCAGAGTTACCAACTGACTTTTGCAGTTTGTGGTGTGTTTGAAATAGCCAAATTTGTGCTCGATTGGTTACGTGCTTCTTTGGTTTCTCTTTGTTAGACCTTAGTACATGTGTTACCCCCTTTATTGTTTCAATCGAACCTCTGTGGTCAGAGTTGAGTCGCTAAAAATCACATATTAAATCGAATTAAAAATCCAAATAAAAAAACTAAATGGACCTTAAGTATCCGTTTAGTTCGTTGAGTTGAGATATGACTTTATGTGAGAGCTTTTTATTGTAACAAAAAGTTAGGTGTGACTATTTCTGAGAGCATTTTACTGTAACAAAACTCGAATCGGTGAAATGCATGGGCAGTAAATGTGTTTGGGTCTTCCACGTCGTGGACGTTTAGTTGATGGATTCAGAATCATAATTCAGAATTATTCTCGATTTACGTGTATTTTTTATGAGAGAAAATACTATAACAAACAACGAATCATGCTTCGAATCATGACATGAATCTAACAACCAAACGATAGTGATTGTATTGTGAATGAAATTCTCATTTTCAAATATATATATATATATATATTATTCACATGGTAATTAGTCATTTTAGCTCAATTTCCCGCCCAAAAGAGAATATTCCGGTGAGTCCCGTTCTCGAGCCTTCCCGATACATCTCCTTCTCCTTCAGATTTCAGTCTTTAGTCTTCACCAAAGAAAAGAAAACAAGCAAAACTAACCAGCTCTCCCATGGCGTCTTCCTTTTTCATATTCTCTCTCATCATCCTCTCTCTCTCCTCCTCCGCCATCTGCTTCTCTCTTTCCACCCTCCTCAACGCCGCCTATATCCTCTCCAACTCCAACTACCTCTCAATGTCCCTAACTCTCCAACTCGCCGCCAATTCCAAAACCCTAGCTCTCCATTTCTCCAAAGCTACCGTCTTCGCTCCTTCCGGCCAGGCCTTCCTCCGCTCCGGCCAGCCTTCTCTGCTCCTCCTCCGCTACCACGTCTCGCCGTCAAGAATCCCCGCCGAAACGCTCAAGACTCTTCATCGCGGCACCAGAATCCCCACTCTGATTCCGGATCACTCTCTCGTAGTCACAGCTTCGCCGAATTACGACGGATATTTGTCCCTCAACAATGTCAGAATCAACGACAATGACGTGTTGGACGACGGCTCTGTGGTTATATGCGGCGTCGACGACTTCTTGAGCTCGCCTTTCGAGTTTTCTCCGAATCCGGAGGACGTACTTTTGCTCGATCGCGAAATTTCTAAGGTCCAGAGGCTATTCTGTAATCGCTGCGTTTCTTGAAGCTCAATTGATGGAGATCCATAAAGATCAGACGAAGTTCACGATTTTGCGCCGGTCGATCAAGCATTCAAAGAAGATGAGGCGAATAATATTGGTGATTACGCGGCGATTTTCCGCCGACATGTGGTGCCGAGATGGGTGCAGTGGAAGGACTCGACTCGGTGTGAGGTTGAGACGAAGTTACTGACGTGTTCGCCAGGATTTACGATCAATGTGACGGTGGCCGACGGCGTTCCTATGCTGAATGGTTTGCCGGTTGCGTTTCGAGAAGTATATCGCGGCGAGTGGTTGGTTGTTCATGGACTTAACGGTTTGATCAAGGGTTTGATTCATCCTTTCTCTGATGGAGATGATGTTGCCGAGGAAACTGATTAGCTCTGGTGACTATTACTGATCTTGTGTGACATTCCAATCAAGCAATCTGCTTTCGGTTAACTAATAGGTTTCAATTCTTCATTGATGTGACAGTACTTAGTCTTGAAATCTGTCTTTTGGGAATTGTAATTTACATGATTTGTTAAAAGCATTCTATTCAACCCTTTATTCTTGTGAATCTTCTTTTGTTCATTGCTGTTTTAGTCATTTGAACTCTGTGTTGATAATTGCTGGAGATGACAATTCAAATGATAAAACTATTCCACTACTTTTAACTGAACATGAAATGGAAAAAAAAATTACAAATTGCAGAAGAGATTTCGGAACGATTTGGAAAATACAAACTAATGCTCTAGTCAGAATCTAGCCTTTGTAGTTTACAAAGATTCAAAACCTATAGGCTATAGTGCATAGCTGGTGCTAGCTTCCTTGGCATTTGAGTCCCCTGAGAAACTAGCCCTTGCCAATGCTCTTAGCTTCTTCATCTCACTCTTTCGCTCTTCTTCATGTCCCTTTAGCTGTTTTCCTTCTCCGGATCTCTGCCAACTAACATTTCTCTCCGCAGTTGTGGAAACTGCCATTTGAATAACATCGGGGCTTGGTGAACCAGGACTAAGCACAGGGACGACTGTTGAACTCATGGCACCGATGGGGTCAATACTAGTTGTTCTCCTTTCTCTTCTTTTTAACTCTGTTTCTGGACTTGGAGGAAGGAATGGAGCTAGGCCTGTTTTCGCATGGGAGGATCTCGGTATAACTCCAGGCCAATGTCTCCTTGGAAGGAAAGGAAGAATAAAACCTTTAGCAGCGACCTTCAATCCGAGCTTGAGAGAATTTTTCCGAGGATGTGATAGTCGTAGTAGGGAATTTATTAGTGCGTACCACTCGTTTATAAGCTGAGAAACAAAGGTAATCAAGAGGAGAGCCAGCATAACAAATCCCAATTTTTGTGCTTCCATTGGATTTGTGCGAGTCATACTGACAGATAAAGCAAAAAGTCCAACCTCACACAAGAGAGACACACTTTCAACAAGGTGGACTCCTCTACTGATGTATGGTTTGAGTAGGAATAGATACATGAACTGCACCACTGTGATTGTCAACGCAAACATACTTTGGCTCAATTTCTTCGATGAGTAAGCTCCAGAGATGATCCCCAAACCGACCCTTCTTAAGAGATCGAGAACTATGTATGAAGATCTAGCACAGCCCAAAAGTCTTCTCAGCAAGGGAATTTCAGTCTCTTCAGTACTGTCGACTGAGCTGACAGCTCGTATTCTCCCAATCCCGTAATGGCCACTTCCACCCCACTTGTTTGTGGTGTTTGAGTCGTTTTGATCGACAAAGGCAAACAATGGAGGACCTTTCCAATTCTCAAAGAGAATTCCAAAACGTGAAAGGAAAGACGAAGGGACCCCTTCTCTGTAAAACCACTTTCCTGTTGTGGGCTTCATTGTAAAGAAGAAGCAAAGCTTTATGTACCATGATTTTGTTATAGCAACATGCTTGATTTCCTTGTACTGAAGCAGACTTCCAGAGAAGACTGCTACTATGAGAAAAAGGCATAATGATAAAATAAAAGCTGCGGGGACTGCAAGCAATAAAGCTCCCGTGATTATTCCCCCGGTTGTACCACCTGCAGTTAGACTAGATTTACTTCCTTGACAGACAATGAAATTAACTGTGATTCGCTTAGAATGTGAATAATCGTCACCTCTTATTACAAATGCTGACGACTGAGAGATGCAAGGTAGCATGAGAATCAGGAGAAATATCTCGAACCGGGGAACTGAAAGTATCCCATGAACTGGTGTTCCTGTTCTCCATTTTAGAAAAAGTAATACCAGAATATGTGCCGTAACTAGACCGCCTCCTACCACTCCAAGCCAGAACAAGTTCATCTCTAAGTCTTGCCACCTGTATGGAAAACAGCCTCAATGATGTTAGACAACATACTACTTTTGATATCACAGATACATACAGTTGTTTGCAAAGTGGCAGAATGTAAACTAGTATGCAAACTATATAGACAAAGGTAATTGTGGAACTACCCTTTATAATTCTCCATTCTCTTTACGACATCGCTAGCAGATAACGGCTCTCCTTTCTACAAGACAAAGTCCTCATAAAAAGAGGTTCTGGTTCAGATACAAGCAATGGTTCAGATACAAGCAATGCCTGAGTAATGAAAATACTCACCAGGAAATAAATAAAATATTCTTTGGTATCAAGAGGCAGTCCATAAGGCGCCTTTTTCAGGCTTATATTATACTGCCCATGAAGCCAGCCGGTTGTGGGTTCAATCTCTGTTGATTGTGGACAAGAAATATTTTTAAGGCAAGAGTCAACTTGATAAGTAGCCGTCTTGTTTTCAGAAACGGTGCTAAATTTCTTTCCAAGCTTCTCTTCCGTTAGATAAATATAGTTGGGCCAAACTGAAGCACTATCATGTTTCCATGGAAGCTTTTGATGAGGTATAAGCCATCTAAGACCCTTTGCAGACTCAGAAAATTCAATGGGTTGGGTAACTGAGAGCCATTCTGAGAGGACAAACACTTGAAGATGTCCAACCATACCCTGCATGAAAGCTGATCAGATGTTCAAATTGGATCTTACTAAGAAAAATATGTGGTGAGTAAATTCCAAGTTAAACATGCTAAAAATTTCCTGCTTCATTTCGAATCTGCTGAGTACCTAAAAACTTACGTGAAGATTCATTGATGGATCAGTGGCAATAATACTGGTACTCCCAGAGGCAAGAGTGTCTATAGCCCCAAGATTGGCCACTGAAATTGAAAGAACAGCTGTCGCTAATGATGTCGCCAATATTCCCGCAGTCACAAAAGAGTGCAGTGCAGTTGACAATGAAGGGATTGAATCTGGATCCGCAAGAGAAAAAATATTATTATCATTTAGAAAAAAAGGTGTTAAATAGAAAGGAAGAAAAGCTTTAAAAAGAGGAAGATATTGTATACATACAGTGCCTCACTTCAAGTTGGTTTGATGCCAAGTTTGGATTTCCTGAAATATCATTTACTTTCCCTTCAGGAATGATTAATGACAACACGTTATGAGTTACTGCCACGACATTCAACGAGTACAGAGCTCTCGAAACTTCCTTCAACCTACCGAAAGCAAAGCAGAACACTTTGACATAACTTGAGGTTCATATTTTCTGTACATTGACATGACTACCATTATAGATACAATTGTGTCAAGAGTTGAAGAGAAGCAAGAAGCACCTGCCTTGTTATTCTGCCACCAATCACTTCTACCACGGAAGCTTCAAACCCAAAAACCGGCTTTGTAAACTCAACTATAATGTTAATCTCGGACTCCCTTGTGACATTTGGAGAGCTGGTACTTAGTCTTACACCAGGCTTTACAGAATCTAACAGAAAAATAGCAATAAGCTCAAGAAGAGGATCTGAAAAGTTTTCCTGAACTACGTGGGATCAGCAAAAAACTACAGAATTGCATACCATATAGAAATGTAACTGAGGCAACAGGTGAGACAGGAGATCCATTCCTGCCAATCAATAATTCAGCTTGTAGTTCGACCGTGATGGTTTCAGTTCTTGATGTAACATTCAGCTACAGTTTATACAGGAAATGGGAAATTCTTTAAATGTACAAGTTAAATCCAAAGTAAAATTATGAAACATAAACAAAAAGGGCAGAGTTGAAGCTTTCTACTTACTTCGAAAGCAAATCGGCGGTTCCCTTGATTTCTACCACTAATAGGTGATAAACTTCTACCCTGGTTCACCCTCAATGAATTTAAAATCTGCAGTGTGGAATTCACTATGGGAATGCTGAAGTCCAAGAACATCTTTAAATTTTCCACTTTGTTGGTTGCAAAGACAGTTCTTGGGACCCCATTAATCACTAACTCATATGAAGGAACCGCGGTCCAGAAATCCACCAGCACTGGCCTTCTATCTGTTTAAGTTACCAGTTTATGAGATAATTAAGTGATGAAATGACAACAAATCCGCATTAAAGCTAAATGGAGACTCATATCCCACCAAAGTGAATGATTATAGAGGAACCATTTGTTCTTGTAAAGAAATTCCCTGCCTGGTCTGTACAAATACTATCTGCCATTGTAATTACAACTCGTCCAACTGCAGTTTCCATGGAAAGAATTACGTCAAGCTTGTAATGTATGGAGGGCTTAACAATGCGCAAGGATTTTGGGTCTATATGCGCCGGTCCTTTGATTATGACCTACAAGAGAGAATGGTTTTTTAGCAAAAGCATAGAGTTATGCCTTGATCTTGAAAGTATGCATATTTTGGTGAGTACTGAGTTTCCACAACCAACCAACTTACATCACAGTCCGAGGAGTTTACACACTTGAAGCCACCCCGTCCAGCACAATCCTCGCTGAATTTGACATCAATAGCTATTCGTTTAGCATTAGTATAGTTCTGTTTGGTGGAAATTGTTGCAGTTGGTGGTACTGTGTCTGTTAGATAAGTAGGAGCGAAGGAGAAAAACTTCTTAGTGAAAATGACTAAATACAAATCCGAAATTAAACAAGTGACTTCTACGGAAAAAAGTATTGAAGTTCTTCTAAAAGGATGAAAAAAAATCTCACCAATGAACCAATAATAAGCTGATGAGTTTCTCTCGCCACTTCGGGTTGTGACGTTAAGAATAAATTTGTGGTCACGGTTGACAGTTAAGTTCTTCAGTATTATGAAATTAGCTGGACAAGAACTCAAGACTTCTCCATCAAGCTGTTCACACTCAAATATGAGATATGAATTATGTTATTCATTGCTATATGTATTGAATTCTAAGTTTAGATTTTCCCAACAACACAAATTGTACATTAAAGCTTTCCTTTAAATTTCAGTATTAGAAATACTCAAAACTATGAAAATTGTTATAACTTGTTTATGTATTAAACACGGAAAGAAGACTGCACCGGACCTACATTATTGTCATTTAAAATCACCAACACTTGAATATGCCATTTAATTGTCATTAAAATAAATATAATTTGAACAACTAAAGAGAGACCAACAAGAAGAACAGTACATACTTGGCAGTATATGGAACACCTATTGTCATGGCATGCATTTGAACCGTTCAGCCTCTCAAAAGAGTATCTAAAAACTGCATAAGAGTATCTTGAACTTGCTTGGGGAGCTTGATCAAAACGAATCAGGACCGTTGATTCGACCGAGTTTAGAACATGCACGAAGATTACTACTGCAGCACAGAGAGAGAGTATGGGAAGCTTGAGCTTGCCCATTTTAGACTTTTAAGGAGTGAGTGGCTGAATCATCACATTAAGCCAAAATCCAGAGAGATGAAACCAAGAAAGATGTTTGTTCTCCTTTGAACCCAAAAGAGAGTTGAAAAAACACACACACACACACATTTAATGTGCAGTGTTTCTGTATGGTTATAAAGTTGAAGAGCCAGAGGAAAAAAGCTCAGAACAACCACCAAACCAGCCTTTGTTGTCAGTCTCATTACTGCTTCTCACATCCCTCATTAACTACCCCATCAGCCGACCTAGCTGTAATTATTTATTTCTTTATTTTCATTTCTAAGTAAAATGAACAGAAGAAATATCCATTTTGATAAATGCCATCTTCCATATCTATCTCTCTCTCTCTCTCTCTAATATTGTAGATTAAAGATACACCTGAAGTTAGCCATGATCTAATCCAAGGATTCCACAGTTACTGTCCCAACAGAGCATTCACTGCGAGTTGGATCATGAATAAGACCACTCGATAAAGGTGAAAGTGGACCAATTTTTTTCCATGTTGATTCAAATTTCTTCTGTGACTCAAATATCACCAAAATATTGGTAACAAGTTTCAGAAAAATTCAATATGCTGAAACTTTTAAGCGTCTTTTTTTTCCCTGAAAATTTTTGGCTTCAGTCTAAGTTAATCAACACCCTTTTAATTAAGCAGATCATACTACACTCATGCTTTGCTCTGAGATGATCAACATACAATGATATCTGCTTTATTTATTTATTTAAGGAGAAACATACATGTAAAACGGAAGTGACATCCAATATTGATTGTCATTGTTCTAACCATCGAATTTCTCGACTGAGCTTGTATGTACACTATTTTTTACATGTGTAACAAACTTAAATCAAAGATGACGAAAAACGACTGAGACACGCGGGCATCCAAATGGTATTTTCCTCAAGGTTCAAGCCGGCAGAGGCAGACGAGGCGATCTTCTTTTTTCATTCGCGGATTCCTCTTAATCTTCCACAACCATCCACGGTAACTTTGGTCCCTAAAAAGAGAATGGAATACATAAGCCAAGTTACTCAAACAATTCTTCAAGATTGCTAGGCATGGCTTAACAAGTGATTAAATTCGAGTTTGATCTCCAAAAGACCTAGTTAGCAAGAGAGAGGGAGAAAGAGAGAAAGAGGGCTTGCACAACATGTAACTTTCTTGTGGGGAGGGTAAACAAGATTTAGTTCCACAACGCTGAAATGTGCATAAAAGTCCTCAAATAATGTATCCATTTTTTAAAATAATGCAAGTGCTGAAAATAAATAAATAAATAAAACCTAGTACATAAATGCACTGAGTGCTGCGTACAAATTGTCTAGCATAAGGGTCTAAAACCATCACTCATGTTGGAAACCTGGTTTTACCTTTCCTTGACGTACGATTTTCAGAGGAATTACAGTCATGTCAACTACAGTTGACGGATCAGCGACTCTCAAGCCACCATCAATGACAAAATCAAGGCCCTGATTCAATTTCAAATGCACAAATTTAGAATTGTATTAAGGAAGAGATTATGCAAAGAAAAAGCCCAGAGTAAGGTCTAGGTATGCTTCAACGGTTCAAAACTGAACAATATAAAAGGTGTTCGAAAAGACACCCACAGACTGCATAAGCGCTAAAGCTGAAATTTCTTTCTTCCATGGTTTACTTGAAGGAAATGAAGGGAAAAAAAGCCTTTTTGTTACAAAGAAAAGGTCATCAACAAATTAAATTTCTATGTAGCCTGTCATCTTTTCCTTCCCCTATCACTAACAAAGTAAATTACCTGTTTAATACCAGGAAAAACACAGATAGGCAAGATTCATAAAGTTTTCCCAGGAATTAAAAAACCTAAATAGAAAGTTTCAGTTTCAGAAACAACGTTCATTTGATAGACCTACCTCTGGTCCATAGGTATCAGCTATAACCACAGGATCTATCATCCACTCATTTTCCTTGGGGCCCTTAACACTGACATAAGAAACGTGCATTCAGCATAAGAGCATAATAATATATGAGAAACGAGAAATAGAGGCCATGATATATGAAAAATTAGTATATCTAGCCTCATATCTTTCTTTCCTACCAAACAAAATAGATATAGCAATTAGACCTGCCTTGTAGATATCAATGGTGCCTCCATCTTCTCTAGCATTGCTTGACATATTGCATCATCAGGCATTCGGATACCAACATTTTTCCTTGACGCGTATTTTGCGGTTGTAGTCCCGTACCTTATGCACTGTTTGGGTAATTCTTTGCTTGCCGATAAGATGAAGGTGTACTGTTATCAAAACAACTGTGTTAGAGATCGCAACTTTCCACTTCAAAAGAACCTAATTACGTACCCCCAATGCAACAAGAAACTGATACCATACTCAAATGATCTTGGTGATGCCATGAAAGGTTAATAAATTAAAGATCATATAGAAAGAGTGCCAGTATGTCTTTACACCATTAGCGGAACGATAGTGTCAAGCTATAGTAGTTGCTGTAGATTTGAGGGTATTCGAGATTTCTTCTTACTGAAGATATTACAGCATAATCGAAGAACAGACTTACAGGCCCAGGCAAGCAATGCTTCACGGCCCGGAATATGTTTGCGTGGCCTTGGCCATCACCTCTAGGAAATCCAGTTGTGTATATATCTATGTCCCGGAAGGAGTGGCATAAAATGCTAAGGGGCTGCATGGGAAAAGAAGGTATTAAGTTCAAAAGCATATACTATCCAGTATCCAGTGGTTGGTGTTTAAATACCATGATAAAGCGCTTTCTACAGAAATTGAAGAATTGAACAAAAAATGAGTCGCACTCCTTGCCTTTAGAGGTTCTATGTTTTTAATTCTGCAGGGGAAAAAACAAACAAGAGACTCGTCATCGCGGGCATTAGAGTATCAAAGCGCTTCAGTAGCCCCAGAAATTAATGGACTAAATCAAATCCGTCTTACAACGAAATCTACCTTCGAAGTCGCTCAATTGCCGAGTGGTTTCTCAAATCACAAACTAGTGCATACCTACAAACAAACTAAGGATGCAGTTACTTAACCAAATAAAAATTAAAAAAATAAAATAAAAAATGGGATAAAGAATTGCATAAGATATGATACAAATTCATACACGGTATCAGTAGGAATGACCCCAACAGCTCCCTCTTTCAAGAGATTCACAACCGGTTCCAACTTCCAGCTATCAGCTCCTGATGGATCAACTTCAACATACACCAATTCATCCTCCTGAAAGTTATTATAACAAATTTAACTAAAACATTGTTTATTACCGTTAATAATGCAGTATATTGACAATATATTAAAACCATCATATAACAATGTTTCTCAGCTCTTTGACAGTTTTGTTTCCCAATTCAACAAGAAGTCCTCACGCAAGAACTAGTCATTCATAACCTTCAATGACTGAAATTTCTAGTCAAAATTGAGATCTTTTTGGCACACACATAGAACAAAATGGATTTGAGAATAGCACACCGCAAAATTCACAGAATTTTCAACTTTTTTTTTCCGCAAACAAACGAAGAGAGAGAGGGGAAGAAAAGGCGAGGGATAATGAGGACCTTGGTAAAGCGGGGACTTGCGTATTTGAGGCGCTTAGGGCTTCTCTTAACGGCAAAAGCCAATACTTGGAGAGAAGGGGATTTTGTGGTGGTGGTGGTGGTGGTGGCGGCGGCGGCGAGAGATAGACGGCTTCTGTACGGACCGAAGCGGCGCGTGGAAAGGGTGTCGAAGGAGGAGAGTGAGAGAGGTTGGGTGTGAGCTTGAAGTTTTGCTTGGAAAGCCATCTCTTTTACAATGAGTGGAGAGCCTCTTTGGCTTCACATTTGGCGCCACAGCAAAAGCCAAAGCGAAAGCCAAAAATGGCACTTAAGAAACGAAAGGAAAGGAAACGAAACAGATGAAAATGATCATCACCCTCGTATATAGTCATCTACTACATGCTACAACTAACAAGAAAGCTACAACTAACAAGAAAGTTCCAGGGTTGCCGATTTCACTCTGGAAACGACGTCGTCACGCAAATAGTTTACAAAATTCCAAACGTCCAACTTAACTAACAGGGCTTTTAAGTACGTTTGGTTCATAAATTTAAAATTATGATTCAGAATCATTCTCATTTTATGTATATTTTTTATGAAAAAATACTGTAAAAAATCATGAATCATGATTCAAAATCAAGAACGAAACAAACGTCCCATTGTGGGCTGCGAGAATTATACATGCCCACTCTTGAAGGAAAGAGAAAAGAGGACTTATTATTTAAAAAAAAAAAAAAAAGAGGACTTATTATTTTTATGGATTATTATCATTGTGTCCTAAATTTTAGGGTCATTGTTAGTTTATCACATTGAGAATGTCAACACGTCAAAACACTCACAGTAGTGACCGATGATGGTCAATGTCTTATCATGGTATTTAAAGGTTATATTAAGGGTGTGCTTTGAGAATGGGTTTAAACCACCTGGTTTAGATTCAAACAGTGTTCTCTCATGACATTTTTAAATTTAAAAAGTTTTATCACAGTAATTTAATTTGAGTTCTGATTCAAATCACCTAATTTGTACTCAACAATATGTAGTTGATATTCTACAAAGGTACTTCACAGTTACCGACCAAAGACTATATTTATAAAGAGAAAATTGCAGAATTCATCCTTCATCTTTAACTAATACCCTCTTTTTTTATTAGTATAGTTAATTGACTCAAAAGAATATTAATTAAGAATAAAGAATCCCGACCCATGTATTTTTTGTCTCCTTTCTCCTTATTAAATACTTTGGCCGTTATTGATGACCACCGGTATCCTACCATATTACTACGAGAAGCTGAAAAATAAAAAATAAAAAATAAAAAATAAAACCCAAAAGAGGATCATGATGATTCGACTGTGGTGAACAGAGGAGGCGCGCTTCTCTTTCAATTTAAGTCAAGCTTGTTGCAAGGCTAAAGGACGACAAAATGAGATATACATAAAAACCAAGAGGCCTAAATTAGATTTAAGGACACCGGAAAAACTGTTTCTAGGTTGCAATGAACTGCACATGCCACACATAACTCATGATGCAGCCATTGGCAACAAAACCCATAGCGTGGCAATCGTTTTATGATGACAGATGTTATGATAGAGCTAGACCACGGAAAATCTTATCTTATCTATAGTCTATAGACGTAATAGCACCTTTCTTCTTCTTTTGGAAAGGATTAAAAGTTGGTGTCAAAAGTAGAATTAGAAGTTGCAAAAGAATCATACTAGATATTACTATCGAAGAATCGATATAATCACATAGCATTATTGGGAGCAACAAACCAGAATCACTATTGAAAAATCATATTTCATATAGAAAATCCCCTAATTATTTTTTCAGTTACATGGTGAAACGCACAGATGTGAAAAATCTGGACCTACTGTGATTCCCAATTCTACATGCACTAAGCTCAAATTGCTCATAAAAATCTTTTCACTCTTCCAGAAAAGAGGGAAAAAAAAGGCTTTCTTATCGGGGTGGGGGAGGCGGCGGCACATGTGACTTTGCTAATCCTATCCATGCAACAATGCTAACAGCAAGGATTACCCATCCAAATATATCATACTTGAGATCGCTGCTCTTCTTTTTCTTTGCAGTCTGCAAAACAAAAACCCAGATCAAGAATACAAGAAAAAAAATATAATGCAATTCCAGAACTGTATGTGTATCATTAGACATAAACACGAGGATTCAAATGCCGTTGTCAACGTAATTGTCGAGATTTTGATTTATGGATAATGTTTGATTAAACTGGTGTTGTTGATGTCTATTCCCAAAAAAAAAAAAATGATTTATAGTTAAAAATCAATGTTTAAAATGCTTAAATCGTCAATGTTGTCCAATTTACACTAGATTAATAACCAAAATAGAACACTATCATCATTACCAAAATGGTAGTTGTTAACAGACATCAAACATCTAGAGAGGATAAGTCCAGAACCACGTGATGAGCTAGTGCTGTCTGTTTATCTTTCACTAACCACTATTAGCTCCTTATAATCTCATGTACATGCATTTACCCAAAAAATATAAGGCAACAACTTAACAAATGGCAAGACTTCAAATAGAACTTAGATAGAGAACAAGAAAAGATTTCAGGCATTACCTTGGTGCCCGATGAAGAGGAAGGCCCTGAAGATCCCATTGCCTGTTGGCTTAAACCGTGTTTATGGATTTCCCTATGCAATTCTGGGGCCTACAGATGCAATATCCATGATCAAGTATATCAAGACTCAAACAAATTAGTAGTCCAACAAACAAATATGAAGTTAATTTAGTAAAACAAATCCAAGGTTCAACTAATTGCAATGTATGTTTCGAGGGGCCAAAAAGAAAGATTGCAAAAATTTACTTAAGCAAACACCCACCTACAAATACAATGCTAGTCAAGGTCTACAACTTTAAGCCTTACTACCACCAGAAGGCTTTAATCAACTAAACGGTGACATCGCAAGAGCCTAATTCTATGATTCTACCATTACCAAGTTTTTCCTTGTACGTAGCACACCTATTAATTCCTTCTCTTTCAGCACATTGTCAATGGTATGTAACTTGAAACACCTACATGTCAACGGACCTAGCCTAAATCATAAAAAGTGCTTAAGAATACAGATTCCTCACCCTATGTTAAAACCAAAGGCAAGATCAAATAGGAAACAAACAGAAAGCATATAAAATACCCACAACCGTGAACGTGCTGTACCCAAGTCGGCATAAAATTAACCCACTTTCCGCAAAAATACCAATTTTCAGAAACTCAAACAGCAAGCATTAACATTTCTGACTCTGTCTGGTCTGTTACCTACTCCACAAACCAGATCTAAAACCTGAAATGACTGAGGAATTCCTCAAATTCGATCCAAACTGCCTATGATGCAAACAATCACACAATTAACCAAAGGTACTGAGAAAAGAGCCATGTTGATACGAAGAATTTTGATGAATTCATTCCCAAACATGAAACACAGCCTACTTCAGATATCGCATGCAGAATTAAAAGTGTTTTTTAGCAGTTTAAGCTTGTTGATGATTGAGGTCATTCTAAGTTCAGCTACCATCTTTATAGGGTACAAATATACTTTCAGCAGGTGCCTTTCATGTTCAATCCATCACACTATAACCACAATTGTTCTCGATGGAAACAAACCAATGATGGCCGTATAACCCGATAACTATCATCTAATAGAAAGTCCTAAATCCACTAAATAGTCAATAATATGTTTAATAACGATGCCATCTAATAGCATTCTTAATTCAACAAAAAAGGCACGAGGTTTTTTCAAAGTACATAAGAGCTGAGAATACCTTATTAGCCACTTCCAAAGACTTGCGATAAAGCTCATTATCAGGATCCTATCATTGAAAAGAACCCCACTTTATTACAAAATTAACTTTTGAATCAAAAATTGTTTTTTGCACATATTATAATGATTGCATTAGTCAGGAGAGAAGAACAACCTCGTCAAGAGCTTGCTGAAAGGCTTCCGCCGCCTTAGCGAAATACTCTTTTGCCTCTTCAAGATCGGGAGTCAAAAATGCATGAGAAGTATGAGCATTTCCCAGGCACCAAAGAGTATCATGTTTCTTCGGATCAACCAGCAAAGCCTCATCCAGCTTTGAAATTGCATCTGCGCAATTTAAATTAAATTCATACCCAAAAAATTGCGGAGAGAAAGAGAAGATTCACGAAATAATCAATCACTGAAAAGAAAAAAAAAATCCTTCTTTCAAAACGCCCAAATTAAAACTCATAATCGAAAACTATACAACAATCTCGGAATCATATTTCATTTTCCCAGGAAAAAAAAAAGATAACTTGGATATGAAATGGCACCTAGAATCATTTTCTTCGAGTCGGGAACATTCTGAAACTGAGACAACTCCAGTAAAGCCCCTGCCCATCTCGTCAAGTTCTGCATTCAACACAAACAAACAAAAACAAAAAAACAAAATCTCAAACAATCAGACCCAAAAAGGACTGTAATTCTCCTTCTCAGAAACGGACCATCAAACTTCATCAGAAGAAAAACTACGAAAAATGTCGACAAAAAAAAATTACAGGAAGGAATCAAATAGTTCGAGAAAGATCGAAGATATAGAAAGATTACGAACATCGGCGTCGATAGGGTTCTTCTCGTAGGCAGCTTCAGCGTTCTTGCGAGCGTGCTCGAAGAAGAGGAGGCGATCGAAGTCGCTCTGCTGCAAATCCATGGCCGCGAGTTTCTTCAATAGAAAAAATATTTAGATATTTCTTTGCAGTTACGCCCCTGTACGGACGGGGCTTTTCGCGTTTTGGGGCTAGGGCTTTCGGCCGAGAGAGTGACGAAGGGGTGTTTGGTACAGTGAAGCGGGTATTTGTTATACAAAAGAAGAAGAGAAAAATTAGAGAAAGATCCGAATAAGATCCGAATTGTTTGCTTTGCGACCCGGTATCTAATCTAAGGCGGTGGGGGGTTTGGGAGCGTAATTCTTTCGCCCGCTATATGGCGCGTGAGTCTCATGTGCTCTTACGCTTAATAAAATTCTTCAATTTGTTTACAAACTCTCGATTAGGTGAAACCCCACAATCAATTGCCTTGCAACGCTGGAATAAAAATCACTTTCTCCTCAGAGTGGGATCAAGTAATGCTATGCTGCAAGGCCGTCCACATTTATAATATGTACCCCCAGTCTCAAACCCAATGAAACTGGAGTCAAACTCTATTTTTACAAGGCCTACCCGTAGGTCAAAATGGGGAGCCTACAAGAGAAGATCCTTCCAGTACGTCAATATATTAGTAGATTACGTTTTTTATATGTTAAATTTGTATAAAATCACGTGAAAGTTAAAAAATATATAAATCTAACGGCTAAAAAATCTGATTTATCAGTACACCAGGTGTACCAAAAAATCTCTTAAAAAAAGAGGTTAGTATTTTTGACATTTAATATTTTCAAATTCCATACTTAAGAATTTAACTATCATATCCCCTCTTTCTCTTGTTTTTTCCCCTCTTATGCTCCTACAATGATATCATGAGGTGATATCATCAAGACATGAAATATCTTCAGGAAAAAAGAAAAAGAAAATAGGTCATGTGAGGTAATTCCATGCCTTATATTTGTATTAATTTGTGCAGTTCACGTTCACTAATTCAATTGAAAAATAATAATAATTTAGATCTCGTTCACTTCACGGATTCGAATTTTCAATTCGAGTTTAGATGTGTCATTTTTTTAGAGCCTTTCACTGTAACAGAAAAAGTTAGATGTGACATTTTCTGAGAGTTTTTTACTGTAGAAACCTAAAATTGAAAACTCAAATTAGTGAAATGAACGATGCCTGATTGTGCAGGCCAGGAACGATATTGGCTTTTTATCACATGATTATTATAAACAATCAATTTAAAATAGGCCTACTGATAGTTCAAAAAATAGAGGTGCACCAGAAAAAGTCTCAAAATCTAAATGCACTTTCTTGTGATGTATTTTAGAAAAGTATAAAAATTATATTATGTGGTTAAAAGAAATTTCACTTATTTTTTAAGAAAAAATATGACTATGGATTATATTTATTTTGTAAACAAAAAAAAATACAATAAACGTTGTTCCTTAAACAATACATATTTTTCATGAATGCTGGATAAATATTTACCTTATCAACAATATGAAAAGAGAGAAAACATATTATTTCTTGTTTCGATATCACCAAACAAATATACTTAATTATTATTCAAATAATCCCAACATGTTTCGATCAAAATAATTATTAATTGATTAAACAAAATACTTGCATAAAATAAATATACAATAACGAGTAGATTAAGACCGTTAAGTCGGCAACACTGTAGTTTTGGTTTATATGTTCTCAAAGAAACTTAACTGATGCTTATTTCACCGGTTTAAATCTTAATTTAAAATCTGTAATTTTAGATTCAAATTGATATTTGGTAGAGGATAATTTAAGAACAATTTAAACCATTAACAATGGTTTTAACCCTTAATTTTAGAATTCACTCTCTCTCTCCTAAATTCTAACAATCTGAATTGTTTTTTATAGTGAAAACAATTTAGATTATATTATTTTTCTCTATTTAACTTTGAGCTTAAAAATGTTATAACTTTTTCGTTTTAATTCTGATTGAGATAATTTTATTTTTAACGTGTTCATAATGAAGAGAGGAATAAATCTCCATACATATTGCGTATTTTTTTAATGTCATTTACAATGAGATTTTATAAGATTTGTCACAAAACTTAAATAACAGATTTCAATATTTTATCTAAATACAGTTCAAATTTTATTATTAAGTTGAATCATAATTTATTTGTATATCCAAAACATCAGTTCGAATCGTAATTTAAATCACCACAATTCAAACTAAATCACACAATCCTAACTGCAAACTGAACAATGCCTTAATTTTTTATTAAAAAAT